TTTGACAGGTTGCGTTACTATCCAATGTACTATCTGTTAATGTTGTGCTAATAAGGCAACATTACAGGGTAAAGTTTGATAATTCCTCGACTCAAAAACATTGAGTTCTAAGTTAGAGATTGAGTGGATATTTTTAAAAGTGGTGTTTATGAATACAAAAATGCCCTGTTTGATGAGATAGAGCAAGAGTGGAAGTTAGAGTGTTGTTCATGCATACGGCTCTAAATATCGGCAAAATGTTATACACTTCAATAGCCTTTCAGTATACAAGTGTAGAGTGTAGTATCAAATGCCGTCAAACGCGTATTGAAATATTCATTGCGGCCAAACTGAACAAGATTAAATACTAATTCTTTCGATAATTTATTCATAAAGTATTATATTATACTTGTATTTAAAAATTATTTGAATTAAAATAATCAATTAGTTTTAATTTTGTAACAATTTTACACGGCGACAATTTTATTGCTCCTAAATATATTGATTATTTACATAAAAAATATATAGCATGTTTAAATTAATAAATTATTTTATGAACTAGATGGATGTATCCACTATTTATGAAGGGTATGCGAAGCAATCGTTTAGATTTTGCGGATATGTTTCGGTGCTCGCGATACGACTCCTCCAAGTATTTGGTTGAATGTTTAGAGAGGTATGCATCGAGTGGGCACACAAATGATCTATTTCACTTTTTAATTAACGTATTACATACAGTTAATTTGTGTAGAATGATATCATGATTAGTTTATTTTAAATCACATTATATTTATGTAGAAATTGGGATATTGAACTAAAGAAAAAGACACCAAGATTGTATATTGCGTTATTCAAAACGCTTGCCAAATACCATATTTTACCATTCATATTTCTTTTATTACTCGTGAGTTATACAGTATATTAAATTATCATAACAATTTCAAATATACTATAATTTATATAATGGATAGAGTGACCAGGTATACACCATTTAACAATACAATACACTATTTTCTTGGTGGACACTATTGTACTCTATTGCACAATAATTAATATGCAAAATATAGTAATTTCAATCTGGAATTCTAATGTGTATATAGTTAAATGGAATTATATTAATTATAAATAACATAAAATTGAGGTTACTACATTCATACAATTTACCAATATTGTATTTGTTAAACAAATCATAAATAATTGTAAAGAAAATTAAAAATGCTTTATTTACCTTTGTAAATAAAATTATAAGTTGTTTTATTATTAGCAATCAAAATTCAGAACCAAAATAGTGTACACGATTTTTGTACTATTTTTACAGCTTGTACATTTTGTACACTATTGGAAAAATTGCATCTGATCCATATAAACAGACAGAGACGCCCTACAGGTATTTACATAGATTATATATACCGTATAAAATGACACTAATGACCAGTAATACTATGCCACATTAAGTTCAAATATGATTCATTGTAGTTTGTACTAAAAATATGAGTTTTAGTTTGTAAGTTTTAGGAGTGAGAGTAACAAATTATTATTATTACTAATAATATGTAGGTAGTATACATTGTATTTCTTAATTTAGAAAAATCATATTTGAACTTGTGGCATAGTATTACCGGTAAAAATAATTTCATTTTATACGGTTTATACGTTGTATGTGAATACCTGTAGGCCGCCTCTGTCTATTTGTACGATCTGGTCACATTAATAATATACAATATGTAATGTATATAAATATTTATTTATGATAGGAGTGTGTGATCCGTATGGCACAGCCTATATTACTCGGATATGTTATTGATTATTTTGCTGGTACTGATCTTATAAAATACGATCATGCATGTATGGCGGCCGGTGGTGTTTGTTTGTGCACTATATTATATATTATGTTTGTTAATACCACTGTTGCACGTTTTTTGCAACTGGGAATGCGCGCTCGTTGTGCCTGCTGTACCCTAATTTACAAAAAGGTTAGTTGCAATACAATTGCATTATAATTCAAGTATATTATGTTAAAAATAGTCACTCAAACTGAGCCAGTTATCACTGCGAAAGACAACTGTGGGTCAGATTATAAACTTAATGTCTAACGATGCAAATCGATTTGACAAGGTATATAATTACTACAATCTAATTGTTAATCTAATATAATAATTATCCTTGTTCACATCACTAACTGGATAATTATTTGATTTTAGTTTCCACAATACGCTAGTTATTTTATAATATCGCCCATTCAGACGGTCATCACTATATATATAATGTACACATACATGAGATGGGCAAGTTTGGTGCCATTTGGTTTAACTATTTTACTTATTGTATTTCAATTGTTCATGGGCAAAGTGTTTTCAAAAGTTAGGTATGCGCGTGTTAATAATATATTCTCTTATATAACATTTATCAACTTCATTCATTCCATTAATTACCCAGATTAATGACAGCAGGGTTGACTGACAATAGGCTCGGGCATATGATTGAGATCATATCCGGTATGCGTGTCATCAAAATGTATTCCTGGGAACAGCTCTTCGCAGACCTCGTGGCTGAGGACCGGAAGTACATTATAATCATTGATAGAATTTATTAATTATTTATATATCATAACTTCCATATAATTTAATATAATTATTGTTAATATAATATATACTAATATAATATATAATGTTATATTATGTTATATTATATTATGTTATATTATTATAACTATTATTGTTATAGTATAATATAAGTTAATATAATTTCCAACACAATTAGACAGGAGGTGTCGTGTATACAGAGATCTTGTTTTCTAAAGGCCATCAATATGTCGTTGAATAGCGTTGCACCCAAGTTGATCTTATTTCCAAGTTTTATTACCTTGGTACTCACTGGTGATGCGCTGGACGCTAAGACTGTATTTGTGTCAATGATGCTATTCAATTCCGTACGAACTAATATGACCTGGTACTTTCCAATGTCAATCATGTTTGGCGCCGAGTTATTAGTTTCTTGTAATAGAATACAGGTAACATTGACCGTGGTGAGAAAACATTAAATAATTAAAACATTTAATTAATATTCTTTTAGACAATTTTGCAATTAGAAGAAACACAAATAAAATCCATTCAAACACCAAATAAATTATTTAAAAATAAAACAAATGGCAAACAATCGCCCGAAGTGTCCATTAATAACATAACAGCCAAATGGAGTGATGTATGAAATAGTATTTTGTGTCTTTAAACATGATATTAATTATAATTAAAAATCAATTTCAGGAAAGCCCGTATCCAACCCTTCAGAATATTTCGGCACATTTAAAACCCGGAGATTTATTAGCTGTGATCGGACCGGTAGGGGCGGGAAAGGTATGAACACTATTAACACTATTGGATAATAGATCATAAATGCATATCTAATTAATTCACAACTATTTAGAGCTCACTATTGATGACAATTCTTAAAGAACTACCGCTTCTGTCGGGAAGTATAGAAACAGTTGGATCGATAAGCTATGTCTGTCAGGAGTCCTGGAGTTTCAACACTAGTGTCCGAAATAATATACTTTTTGGTGCCGAATATAACAAATCCCGATATCAACGAGTGGTAGAGGTGTGCGCTTTGGAAAGAGATTTCCAGATATTTGCGTTCAGAGACAAGACATTAGTCGGTGAGAGAGGAGTACAGCTGTCGGGCGGACAGAAGGCCCGCATCACGTTAGCCAGGTTTGGGTCCAATTCATTGTAAATGACTAACATGTAAACATACAAACTCTTATTGTGTAACATTATTACCCAAATTATCATGCTGCATTGGTCTTTAATAATAAAAGGTTTACCATTAGTATCATGAATTTAAATTTGTTAAAAATAAATTATGATTATGATACAATAAATAATTAAATTTAAATTACAATGATTTGCATCTATGCAGAGCTCTGTATCGAAATTCAGATATTGTATTAATGGACGACCCGTTGAGTGCTGTCGACACTAGTGTTGCCGAACATATATTTGATAAGTAATGCAATGATTGTTATAATTATTATTACAAATAAGTCTAACATATAATGTATTCGCGATATAATGAGCACCAGATGTATAGTCGACTACTTGTGCGACAAAATCCGTATTCTAGTCACACATCAAATCCAATTCATACGAAAAGCGACAGTTTATAACCAAAACTTGCTGCTCCCTTTCACAGACGGATTGGGATCCTATGATGAGCTCCAGTCCCGGGGCTTAGACTTCATGTCTATTCTCAGCGATCGGGAGAGAGAGGCCGCAGACAACATGGGAGAGCTCGATATGGATGACCCGGACACTAAAGTTACAGTTTTACAACACAGTTATGACAATGAAATAACATCCAAAAGAACTTCAGTGACCGAGAGTTTAACGATTAGAAATGTAACCAATGTTTATAATAATATACTTTAAATAGACAAACAATGATCACACAGCGATGCTATACGTAGAACCTCTATTTTTCGGGAGTAAAAACACTGAAATTCGGGCGGGAATCGGGAGTATAAAATAGTCAAATTCGGGAACAAAAAATTATAAAATTAACCATGTAAATGAAGTTATTGGGTATTTTTGTAGCTTAAAAATGAGTTATAAATTGTATTAAAGTGAATTTCATCATATTAATCTGTAATTAAGCGGTAAATTAATGTCTCAAAATCTGGTTTTAGAAATAGTTTGCTAATTTTGAAATATATGTGATCATGAAATCACAACATACTTTTAATATTGCCATAATTATCATAATTAAAATAATTAACCACAATTCGGGTATTGCTTAAAGAATAGATTAGCCTTATCTATTATATTAATCCATACAATTAGCATTGTCATAGACTTCGCATTACCCATGTTATCCCTATGTCATAGACTTTGCATTACCCATGTTAAAGTATAGCCATAGACTTAAGCTGTAATCCCATGTTAAATCCCATAGGGTGGGGGCGGAGTGGGGGGCAGAACAATCATATAAACCACATTATTCATAGATTAATTGTGGTTAAAAATTAATACATATATAATTATTATGATGATTAAGGGCGAAGAGGAAAACAACGACCCAAAAATAGATGACGAGGTCCGCGAAACGGGTTCAATATCGGGCACAAATTATTTGATATTTATTAAGGCAGGCGCCGGGCGTTTGATATTTTCTATCACGCTTTTATTTACGATTATTGCTCAAGCTATTTATCACGGATCAGATTATTTTCTAACACAATGGTGAATAAATTGAAACCATTAAGCATGTTTAATTTTATAAAAAATATCCATTTTTACAATAGGACTAATAAAAATCAAAACAATGATAATATTAACACATCTGAGCAGAACAGGGATGCGATTATCTACTCCTCAATGATGGCCGCGCTGTTCATCGCAACCCTATTAAGAACCATCACATGGTTTATGATGTTTATGAGGGCTTCAGTTAATCTGCACAACACTATGTTTTACCGTGTATTACGAGCCCCGATATATGTGTTTGAGAATAACCCAGTTGGTTAGTTAATTCATTAATTCACACAGTAAATAATGTTAATTATAACCAATAGGTCGAATATTAAATCGCTTTTCAAAAGATCTTGGTACAATCGACGAGCAACTGCCAAGTACAGCCTATGAGATAAACTCGGTAATTTACTATTTTACATACAATATAGGTTTGAATTTTCATTGAATTAATTATAATTGTTTAGAGTATGACTGTATTTATCGGTTGGATAATCATGATTGTAATCGTGAACCCATATTTAATAATACCAGCATTTTTCCTAATTATAATGCTTTTGGCAGCTAGGGCTATTTACATAAAATCAGCAAGGGATATTAAACGGGCTGAAGGATTTAGTAAGTTTTTATTTAAATTGAATAAATAAAAAATATAATAATTTTAAAATAATAACTTATAGCCCAGAGTCCAGTGTTCTCACACGTGAGCACAACTTTCAATGGGTTGGCCAGTGTTAGGGCCTTTAGGGCTCAGGAAATGCTTGAAAATCAATTTTACGTCTACCAAGATGATCACTCGGCCACCTGGATGCTCGTCACCACTGCTAGATATGCATTTGGTTTAATAATAGATGGACTATGTTTTCTCTACACAGTTATCATATTCACGGTATTTATGGTATTCCCCGAACAATTGGGTGCCGGAGAGGCGGGACTTGCTTTATCATCAGGTTCGTTTCACATAACATGACATAAGGCAACCCTAAAGCTAACACAATATTAATTAATCTAATAAATTAGCCCTAATGTTGACGGGAGTGACCGCATGGGGAGCACAACAGTCGGCAGAGATGGAGAGTCAGATGACTTCAGTCGAGCGCATCATTGAGTACTCAAAACTACCACAAGAGGCGGCCCTCACAGCACATGATAGCCGTAAACCCCCTCCCGATTGGCCACAGAAGGGACTGATAGAGCTCAAGGATATGAGTCTATACTACGAGGGATCAGACAAACCGGTGCTCAAGAACTTGAGTTGTGTTATAAAGAGTGGAGAGAAGATAGGGATCTGTGGGCGGACGGGCGCCGGCAAGTCGTCCATCATATCAGCGCTGTTTCGTATGGTTGAGCCAAAGGGAAAGATAATAATGGACGGCATTAACACGGGATCAATAGGTTTGCATGAATTGCGGTCAAAGATCTCAATCATACCTCAAGACCCGGTGGTCTTCACGGGAACCGTTAGAAAAAATTTGGATCCTTTCGGCGAATACATCAATCGGGAGGGGGTTTATGGCTATCCTGTGCTGTGAGGGCCGCCTCTTGTGGTAGTTTTGAGTACTCAATGATGCGCTCGACTGAAGTCATCTGACTCTCCACCTCAGCTGACACTCGGGCTGTCCAAGCAGTCGCTCTCGTCAACAATAGGGCTGATATATTTTGATAAATTAACAATTTTTTAAACACAGATCCCATGAGTATAGTCAACAAAAAAACGCGTTTTAGAGCTTTCTTCACAAAAAAAACTTAACTTTAGATAAAGTAATGTTTGATTCATTGTTTTGAACACAACTTTAATATTTGTAACAATGAATTAGAAATAAATTTTTATAATTTTTTCTGTGAATAAAGCTCTAAAACGCGTTTTTTTTGTTGACTATACCCATGAGATATATTAGGTGATTTTTTGTCATTCTTTAACCAACTTTATAAGACTGGTACTATATTACTCATCAAATCGTTTCTATAATAATGATCATTTAAATATTATCTAGTAATATAGTACCAGTCTTATAAAGTTGGTTAAAGAATGACAAAAAATCACCTATTCAATTAATGTTAAACTCATAAAATATTGTAATAATTATAGATGTCTTAATTCATATCATGCGCTAAGTTTAAAGTCGCATTCAATCAAACAGTGTGAACTGATACAGTGGCCAATCAACATCGTTTGAGAAAGTGTTCTGAGACTTAAGAAGTAATAATCATAAGTTACAACTTAATATTGTCAAATTTAAAGTTTACTTTTTTAAATGACCCTAAATATTGTTTTGAAGACAAACAAAGAAAAATTTAATTGTGAATTTTTTATGTTACAAACAATATTTTGTAACATTTAAGATTAATTTCCCATAAATTATAAAAATCGCACACACCTAGATATTTAAAACATCAGTAATTTTCAAATAGTGAGATTTAATAAGTAAAACAAACCTGATGATAATGCAAGTCCAACCTCTACCGTTCCCAACTGATCGGGAAATACCATAAACGCTACGAATATAATTATTGTATACATAATCCACAGCCCGTCTATGATTAAAGCAAATGCAAAGTTTGTATTGGTGACGAGCATCCAGGTGGCCGAGTGATCATCTTGGTATACATAGAATTGTTTTTCAAACATCTCCTGCGCCCCAAAGGCCCTAACACTGGCCAACCCATTGAATGTAGTGCTCACGTGTGAAAACACTGGACTCCGGGCTATGAGTTATTATAAAGAACGATTATTATTATTATTATTTATTTGCTATTAAACCTTACCTAAACCTTCGATCCGTTTAATATCCCTAGCTGACTTGATGTAAATAACCCTAGCTCCTAAAAGCACTACAATTAAAAATAATGCTGGCATAATCAAGTATGGGTTGACGATCGCGATCATTATTATATGACCAATACATGCAGTCAGTTCCTAATTAATTAAGTTGATAACTATATATAATTAACTTTGAAAAATTCACACAAACACAAAATAATAAATTACCATGTTCAACTCAAACGATGTACTTGGCAGTTGCTCATCAATTGTACCAAGATCTTTTGAAAAGCGGTTTAAAATCCTACCTATTGGTTTACGTAAACATTATTTATTTGGTTAATTAATATATTCAAATAACAAACCAACTGGGTTGCTGTCAAACACAGATATCGGGGCCCGTAATAGACGGTAGAAATATCACAACACCTCTAATTGACTTCGGGAGTATTTGTAGTGTTTGGTACACATGGCTCTCAATAGGGATGCGATGAACAGCGCGGCCATCATTGAGGAGTAGATAATCACATCTCTGTTCTGATCATCACTATTAATATAATCCTTATTTTTATTTTTGTCAGTCCTGTTTTAATAATAGATAGAAATATTTATAATAGTTAACATAATTAGTGATTTTAATTAATTCACCATGTTGCTAAAAAATAGTCCGATCCGTTGTGAATAACTTGAGCAATTATACTTAATAATAGAGTAATTGAAAATAATAAACACCCTGTGCCTGATTTAATATATGCCCAATATACTTTGCAAGATATTGAACCCGTTTCCCGGACCTCGTGAGCTATTTTTGTGTCTTTGTCCTTTTCACCGTCCTTTATCAAGTATACATGTTTATTATTAAAGTATTTCATTTTATGCAAATGCATATTTATGTCGGTTATTTATATATGTTTGGAACTTTAGGGGCAAACGAATTACATAATAAGCCTTATTTAATAAGGGATGTTTTGCCCAAGTTTTATTTTACATATAAATGCATAGTTAGATACATGTAATAAATGCAAAAATTGGTTCAAAAGAATAAAAACGCATGGATTTTATTAAAAATTCGATTGAAAATGTGAAAACTATTAGAAAATTTACAATAATTTAAAATTATTAGATCATTTGATTTATATTAGTCTTCCTATAGATTTACTAGATATATTAATTTTATAATTTTAGTTTTTAATTTAACATTCCCAGGCACCAGAAACTAAATTTCATAAGGCTGGCGTTATTAGCCTTTATACAGTAAATTTTTATACAAAGTCAGGCAATATAATGTATTCCTATGAGAAGGTGTCTGTTTTGTGATTACAGACGGTTGAAATTGCATGTAAATTGATTATGCTCAAACAATAATTGAGATACAGGGTAAACGTCTCTTGGATGAACACCTCATAACAAACTCATTTGAATTTTAAGTTGGATATCCTATACTTATAATGTTAAAATAACCTCTCTTAGGTAAACTTCTCCATAATGAATACCTTCCCATTATGAACGGATTTATAGAGATTAAGATAAAAATTTTCATTCTCTATAACAAACAAATATAAACTAATTTGCAAAATCTAAAACCCAAACCTTGCCTTAGAATAAACAGTAATATTTATTATAAATATTGATTACATTTTTTAGCGTCAAACTCGTATCCACTGAAACGTTTTGAGTATTTAGTTTATTGTCACTGGTTTTCAAATTTATAGACTCTCTATTCTGCTCTGCCTTATCGTCCGCTTCCCTCTCCCGATCGCTGAGAATAGACATGAAGTCTAAGCCCCGGGACTGGAGCTCATCATAGGATCCCAATCCCAGACACTTTCCCTCGTCGTTCAAAACCAATATTTGTGTCNAACCAATATTTGTGTCGCTTTTCGTATGAATTGGATTTGATGTGTGACTAGAATACGGATTTTGTCGCACAAGTAGTCGACTATACATCTGGTGTTCATTATATCGCGAATACATTATATGTTAGACTTATTTGTAATCATAATTATAACAATCATTGCATTACTTATCAAATATATGTTCGGCAACACTAGTGTCGACAGCACTCAACGGGTCGTCCATTAATACGATGTCTGAGTTCCGGTACAGAGCTCTACATAAGTTATAAATGATAGCAATTATTATTAAAACTCAATTAAACAAATATTTTATTGATAAATTTATAGTTATTTTATTTTAATCTTATAAACATATATCTAATAAATCAATCAATGCATTTCGTAAAAATGCATAAATAAACAATTATGATAATTTATAATAGAATGTTATTATTATATTTAATTCATATTATAATTATTTCCAAATCCTTTACTATTTTCAAAACTGCAATTTTGTCTTAAAGTGGGCAAAGATTATGCATTGTTTTTTTTGATAAATTTGAAATGGGATAGTAAACGAAGTGTAGTTATTTTTATATTTTTCACTTAAAATAAAAATTTATTTTATGACATTAAATAAAGATAATGCGGTCAATACGTAATATGTTATAGTTTAAAATGCAATACACAAACCTGGCTAACGTGATGCGGGCCTTCTGTCCCCCCGATAGCTGTCCCCCCGAACGGAAATATCTCAAAGTCTCGCTCCAAAGCGCACACCTCTACCACTCGTTTATATCGGGATTCATTATATTCGGCTCCAAAAAGTACATTATTTCGGACACTAGTATTGAAACTCCAGGACTCCTGACATGAATAGCTTATCGATCCCACCGTTTCTATACTCCCCGACAGAAGCGGCAGTTCTTTTAGAATTGTCATCAATAGTGAGCTCTAAATAGTTTTATATTAATCTATGTGTTATTATCTAATAGGTTGCATACCTTTCCCGCCCCCACCGGTCCGATAACAGCTAATAAATCCCCAGGTTTTAGATGTGCTGAAATATCCTGAAAGGTTAGTTTCGGGCTTTCCTGTAAATAAATTACAACCTATTATAAATAATGTTATATTAAACATACAAATAATAATTTCATACATCACTCCATTTGGCTGTTATGTTATTAATGAACACTTCAGGCGATTGTTTGCCATTTCTTTCACTTTTACATAATTTATTTGTGTTTTGAATGGATTTTATTTGTCTTTCTTCTAATTGCAAAAATTTCTAAAAAATATAAATTAAATGTTTTAATTATTTAACTTTTGCAGATTTTTTACACCATGGTCAATATTACTTGTATTCTATTGCAAGAAACTAATAACTCGGCGCCAAACATGATTGACTTTGGGAAGAACCAGGTCATATTGGTTCTTATAGAAACAAATAGTATCATTGACACAAATACAGTCTTAGCGGTCAGTACATCACCGGTGAGTACCAAGGTGATAAAACTAGAAAATAAGATCACTTTGGATGCCATACTATTCAACGACGTATTGATTGCCTTTAGAAAGCAAGACCTTTGTATACACGACACTTCTTGTCTAATTATTTAAAGTGTATAATTATTAGGCAAATTATAGAAATTAAGTGGGGCAATTACTCTTGGAAGTTATCATTACTCCTCACATCTAACCCTTTTCTTTTAATTTATCAATTATTTATATGTTAATTACATAATATGTGATAGTGTAATCTACTATATAATAATGTACTCTACTATAAAGCTTATAATTTAAATGGCGATTTAATAACCATGTTAAAAATATTCCCGTTTCACTGGGGATTGAGTTCGTGTAGATTATGGTCATTTACTTTCGTGCCTCAGACACGAGGTCTGCGAAGGGCTGTTCCCAGGAATACATTTTGATGACTCGCATACCGGATATGATCTCAACCATATATTGCAACCTTTTGTCAGTGAGTTTAGCTGTTGTTAATCTATGTAAATTGATAGAATAATTAAAATTGGCAAATATTCTATTAAAAATAAAATATTATCATCTTCGTACCTAACTTTTGAAAACATTTTGCCCATGAACATTTGAAATACAATAAGTATAATTATGATACCAATTGGCACCAAACTTGTCCATCCCATGTATGTGTACATTATATATATAGTAATCATTGTCTGAATGGGCGCTATTATAAAATAACTGGCGTATATTGCAAACTGAAATCAAATAATTATTAAATTAATGCATTTGCTTGATTGAAATAGTTATAAACCTCATCAAATCGATTTGCGTCGTTAGACATTAAGTTTATAATCTGACCCACATTTGTCTTTCCCATTGATAACTGGCTCAATTTGAGTGACTATTTTCAATACAGATTTTATTATACTTGAAATATATAAATATATTGAATAATACAGTTATATAATGCAATTATAAACACGTTCTTAAATATATCTTTAAATATAACAAACCTTTTTATACATTAGTGTAGAGCAGGCACTGCGGGCCCGCATTCCCAGTTGCATAAAACGATTCACACCGGTATAAAACAACAAACGAAATAATAGAGTGCACAGACACACACCACCAGCGGCCATACAAGCTTGGTCATATGTTATCAAATCAGCACCATCAAAATAATCGATTACATAACCAAGTAGTATAGGCTGTGCCATAACGATAACAAACTCCTATCATAATTAGATATTAATAAAATATTTGTGCTATATTATATAACATATAGTATGATTTAAAATTTAATATATAACTCACTATTAATAGAAGCAATGAGAATGGTAAAATATGGTATTTGGCAAGCGTTTTGAATAAGGCATTATACAATCTTGGTGATTTCTTTTTTAGTTCAATTTCCCAATTTCTTAATGAAAATGAATTTATTTAATATAATGAAATCATGATTAAGATTAAGACAGGTAACTACAAAAACTTTATTCCACTCATATCAATATTAATCGCGATTAAAAATTTGACTAAAAATTTTCACCATTTTTGCGCAAACTTCTATAAGATGATTTTTAAATCGAAAGAATTGAATCAAACATTACTTAAAGTTTTGTGTAACAATTAAAAGATATATTAAAGCATATTTGTGTTTTAAACTATTTATATTAACCATCAAGTAATAATTCAAGGACGACCAAGTATAAATTATGTATAGTCAGATATTTTAGTTGAGCATGTGGCTACACTAAGATGTCTTATTTTACTGAATTACCTAGACATAATATATGTTGTGCCCTCCTTATCGAGACAGAACAGTAAAATAGTATAGCATTCCTTATAGGAGGGGGTGGGGGAGCCGAACGATCCTATAAACCACATTATTCTTAGCTATGACAATGAGATATGTGAACATAATTTGACAACAAGCTAATTGGTGCGAACATAGAGGATCTAGTTTATAAAAATGTTTGAATGTAATATGTGAAATAGGCATTATATCAATGACAACTTACTTATGGTTTTATAATAAGAAGATATAAATGAATGGGGACTAATTGTCTATAACATTGCATATACTATTGTATATTAAATAATAAAGTTTTATATGATATAATTTATATTGAATTTTGACATTATTTAAAAAATGTAATATTTTGTTTATAAACCTTTCTAAACATTTAACCAAATACTCGGACGCGTCGTATTGTGAGCACCGATACATGTCATCAAAATCCAAGCGATTATTTCGTATACCTTTTATAAATATGGGATATACCCACCTAGTTGATTAAATTGTAATTAATAATTTATTAATGTACAGTATATATAAAGTTACATAAACAATACTTAATGGTAAATATACCAAACCATTATATGTTTAGATTGAACTTGCACTGCAAATAGCACACAAATATGTACTTACAAAAATATTAACTTTTGAATCCAGTTTGAATTGTCCCATGGTGATTGTTTAGTGATTTTAGGCCTAATATACATAATGACATGTATATTATAATTTGTATGCAAATCTGTGCCAGTAGACTATTGACAATAGTTCACAGTACATAATATCAGTATTATGAAAGTAATGTTATTTTTAATATTATTATTAATATATTTGTAAATTCAGACACGTCTACTATTACCTTAAAAATGATTTGTACGTTAATATTACTTTTGTGTAAATGTAGTTATGATATTCACGAGAGCAAGGTGTTATAAAATATTTATTAAATGTTACGTTTTGAAATTAATGTTAATGTAATATAAGAGTGAGAGACTCGTAAAGTGTAATTTTAATTGAAATTAGTGTTGATTAAAATATTAGTATATTATTTTAATTACATATAAACATATTAAAATGTTAGTATAAACAGATAAAATAACTAAATTGAAATTGGTATGTTATATGTTATTATCAATAATCTGAACTAATTAAACCGTAATATAGTATAGCCCGCGCCAGACATACCAACTGCCTCTGACCTACACTCAGATTAGCGCCCCCTTCAGTTAACTGGCTGTCCAAATGGTCCGGGAGGTCCCCCACCGCCACCTTTATTGAAGATTTCAATAAAAGTGATCATCTTGGTTTAAGTCTTTCTTTCATAAATTTAATAACAATCAAACTTTAATTTAAACAATTACTACCGACCAAAACAGACGTGAGTAGTTTGTAGGCATACACATTCGCAATAGTAAATGCAATGTTTGCATATTTTAATTGAAATCTACTCTTATATAATAAGTATTGTATAACAAGATAATACAATATCGCAATAAACAACACCAAACAATGTAATTATAGATACATTAAATAATTAGACAATTTTACAAATTAATTGTAACAACAAATTGTTAGATCTATTAATTATCAGCTTTTAGTGCCAAACGTACTCTTGAGGACGCCTTCAATCTGATTGATGGTGTCGTCGGTCTTAAGGAAACACATTCTTAACACAAACTCAGAGTCCGAGTTTTGGTCCAAAGGGTACAATAGTTTTCCCGGAAGTGTTACCAAATTCTGCCACAATTTCAATGAACAATACATAAGACAATTCAAATAAAACAATTTAAAAGTAAATTTTATGCAAAATAGACTATAAAAAGTGGCCAACCCTTTGGTGAATGAGCCAAAGGGACAATTGAAGGCCAACGCGGCGGTCATTTTCAAGGGACAGATCAATCTTATGGACAACATTAGTAAAGTTTGCGACAATAAAATAACCGGCATTTGGTTTGACCACATCTACGCCCATCTCGTCAAGCATTTTGACGAATCGGTCGCGTTTGGTCACAGACTCCCGCACCAGCCGTGAGAAGTAGGACTGGTTTGTGTTGAGCCGCTTTATCTCCACCTCCAAACCCATGGCAAAGGCTGTCTGTATGGGCGTCGGCACCGCCAACACCGCTGCCATCACTCCCACAGTCATGCCGTAGAGTAGCTCTTCGGGACCGACGGCCCAACCGATTCTCCATCCGGTGCTACTGAACGTCTTGCCCCCACTCATCACTGTTATCGTCCGTTTCCACATTCCCGGCAGACTTGCTGTCAATGTTAGCATCAATTCATAAATATTTAATAAATTTATCTTAATATACACTGTAATCAGCAAATGAGTGATCATATGATTTACCAAATGTGATGTGTGGCTGACCCTCGAAGTGATAGTATTGGCCCACTTCGTCAGCCATTACGATCACGTCGTATCTCTCACACAACTGTCCGATAAATAGCAGTTCCTCTTCAGTGAACATCTAAATAAATGTTTAAAATTTGTCAACAATTAAAAGCAGTGAACATTTGTATAATAAATATATATAAAAACGTTTATATACTTTGCCCGATGGATTATTAGGGTTGTTAATCCACATCATTTTGGTCCGATTATTAAACGCCGCCTCCAATTGTTTTCTATCAAATGACAGGTCGTTTGATTGGCTCGGCTTTTGGCCGTTCAGTGTCTTCAGCGGTATATGAATGGGAACTCCGCCCACAAGTCGTATAATCGGCTCGTAATACATGAATCGGGGGCTAAAAAGTACGACTTCGTCGCCGGCGTTGACAAAAGCTCTGGCGGCGAAATCAAGGCTTTGAATGGCGCCTAATGTGACCACAATCTCGCGGTCGGCGTCGATGTGCCGTCTCATTAGAGGGGCGTTCAGTTTGGCGATCGCCCGCCGGAGCCGCGCCTCACCCCTGGGGTGCGAGTATTGGTGTAATCGCCACGACGTGTGGTTCGCCGTCACGTCTCTCAACGCGTCCAACATATGCTGCGGCGGATAGTAGTCGGGGTAACCGTAGGACACGTCTATGGCGTCGGATTGTACCGCCATATCCTCGTACTCAAGGCTGAAAAGTGCGATCAATGACCATGGGCAATTACATTTGCATTATCAATGTTACTAATTGTGTAATAATAATGATTATCTTATATTTACAGAATGTCGGCATCGCTTATATTATACACATTATGTGCCGTTTTGGGCGATCGTAAGTATTGTGAGCGATGCAAATGTTTATTCACTGAATTGTTGCTAATTATTAATTGAAAATTTATAAATATTAATAAAAATTTTATTAAGTTTTGAGTGAAATTTTTTGCCATATTTTATTTATTTTAATAAATTTGTAAATATAATATAATGTATTAATTAATTAGTTTTGTTGTATAAAATACATAATTTTTAATTAACTTTTATTTACATATGATTTGTTGTCTAACTTAATAGCGTCTAAAATTATTTACAAAATATTTTTTAATGCGATGTTTTAAAGAGAGAATCGTTGTCTTCGTCGTCGACTTCTAAGGTATCAAATCTCTTAAGATGTGATTCTTTAGCCATATTTAGTAAATGATTGAACATATGTTTCCCAGTCTTGCGGCACATGTCATACAACTGTCCCTTTCGTTGCAGTAAAACAAACGGTTCGTCAAACTCTATGATCTCTCCCGCGTCTAACACCTGATGGAATAAAAACATTCATTAAGTAAATGTAATTATTTAATATTTTACTTAAATAATAATTAAAATACAAACCAAAACGCGATTGCAATCCATAATAGTGTTGAGTCTGTGAGCGATCGTAAGGACAGTACAGTCACTGAATTTGTGACGAATTGTGGTCTGAATTAAGGCATCGGTTTGATGGTCAACATTAGCGGTCGCCTCGTCCAGCACTAGTATCTCTACGATCTCTCCCGCGTCTAACACCTAATCACGTGATATACAAATCACACATTAATTAGTTGTAAATATTAAATAATTTATTTAAATTATGATTAAAATCCAAACCAAAACGCGATCGCAATCTATAATAGTATTGAGTCTGTGTGCGATTGTAAGGACAGTACAGTCACTGAATTTTTGACGGATTGTGGTTTGAATTAAGGCATCGGTTTGATGGTCAACATTAGCGGTCGCCTCGGGTAAGACATATCTTGTAAATAAACATATATATGAAAATTTAATACAAATTAAAGTTTTATTATTAGTTTTTAGCCCTAAATTCATTAAATATATTTTGGTTAATAAGTGTAAAAAAATTTTAATCAAAAGTTTAAAACTTTTGTTCCAATTATTTTCAATAAACACATTATTTATGGCTTTTATGTGAAACATTTGCCTTTCATTTCACAACTCATTCACACATTTCTATCAAAACGTGTTTTGAATTGTGTATTAAAATTGATTAAATCACAAATTGTTGGCCAAAAATATGTCCAAAACTTATAGTAAGAACTGTTTCGATAGATTTGGTGACGATTTATACGAAGAGTTGTTGCCATACATATCACTGGAGAACCGATTACTTCGACAGCGAGTGTCCAAACGGTTTCAAAGGCTCTCAAAAAACGCTCAGAAAGTCTTAAACTTTGATCAGGAGTTACACCAGAGGTGCCGCAAGAATTCACACGTCCTCAAGACAATTGTCATCAGCTGTTCCCAAATCACTCACATTTACAAAGAGTGGATAAAATGTGTGTCGTTAACCGACGCGGCCATCGATCTGGTCATCGATTACTGCCCGCACTTGATATACATTGTCATCGATTTCAGTGACAACAGCGACGACGCCATCCACCGGTTCTTCGGCCGATTTGGTTCGCAATTGAAGACAATTAGGTTTAATTGCAGAGACAGACAAAAAGATGTAATTATGCCATGGATTAGGACTTGTGTCCGATTGTCTCAATACAGGGCTGAGAGCGACGAGTTGTCCCAACAATCGCTATCAATGCTTACCGAAAGCTCTCTTGTCTTCAAACGTCTCAAATCACTTCATTTGGGTATTCATTGTAACGACAGGTTTGGCGGAAGTGTCACCGATTTGGACGCGTTTGACATGTTTTGCCGCAATTATGGCCAAACAGTGAACGCAATTGATTTCACAATTTATGGTTTGAAACCAATATTCATCCAAAGACTGGCCAATGGATTGTCACGTTTGCGGACATTGACTGCTCTTCGGCTCAGATTTTATCATAAGTGTCGGCCAGTATTGTCGTCTTTATTGACACAAATTGGTGGCAAATGTCTTGGAATAAAGTATTTGTGGATCCATTCGTACCATCCGATTGAATTAGATGTCATCCACGCGATTACTACACGGTTTCCACGATTACATCGATTGAAAATTGAAATAAATCGGATTCAATCATCGAATATAACCTCCGAGTCGTTGTCGGCGTTGAAACGATTGACTCGTTTAGAGTTTTATGGATTTCAATTCGGCGACGAATTCTTCGACAATATATCACAACATTTACCACGTGTTCAACATTTGGGCCTTTATTTAGCGGCGATTACGGATCAGGCGTTGGAGTCGTTGTCGCGATTACGACGATTGCGATTCATTGACTCCTCGGGCAGTTTCGAGGGCACCGATGAGGGCATCGCTCCCTTCTTACAGATGCCCGACATCTATCACTTGCATATTCAGGGATCCACTCAAACAACACGTAAACAATTAATGATTTGAATTGACTGGCGCTGAAATTATTACATTAATCCAATTTATGCATCTAGGTTATTGGGGCTTCAAATGAAGTATTATGTGTGGAAAGAATCGGCGAATGAATGATGACATCATTGCCAACATTTTGGATATGGATTTCAATTACTTTTGTAATTATTTATTTAAAGAAATTATCGATATTTGTATAGTTTTATAATTATTATATTCAGTATCGGATATATTATAGTTAACTCTATTTAATGCATTGTTTGAAATGATTAAAATCAAATAATTTTAATAAAACTTATAAATTTACAATATATTTGTAATGAGTCATTTTAATTTATTTAGCCAAGAATTATTTATTAAATACATTTAGTCGCTTGGCGCATTTAATTAGAAAATGTGCCATGTTTAAATTCAGATCAATGTCTATTATAAGGGAAATAACTTTCAAATAACTGTTGAGTAAATAAACCAAACGATGAAAGAGATGTCCAGCAGTACGGCTCTGGCGGCCAACGGTTCCGATTGCCTGACCAACAAAGCTGTCGGCCGTTGGCATAAATAGACTGGCAAATGGTTGGCTGCCCACGTGCCCAATGATCTTGGTCAATACAAAAAACGGTAAAACAGTTTGTACAACAACACCGGTGTGTCTGCACTCGGCCTCCAGCGCTCGACTGAAGTAATCGACGTAGACTTTAGTGGCCGAGTATACGGCCAGTTGTGGGTATGGAAATGTGGCCCCAAATGAGGATAAATTAATGATAACACCCCGACCCCTGTGTATCATTGCCGGCAGTATCAGCGTTGTTAATCGTGTGCAGGCGATGATATTTACATTGATTATATCTTGGTTATATTTGTTTAGCTCGGGTACGTCAATGAAATTTCTGGGCACACCATCCGGACAATACATACCAACATTGTTAATGAGCACATGTATGTCCATTGCCTGTAACTCCCGGTCAATGCGATCGTACACTTCATCGGTATTGATAGTGAAGTCAATGTTCAATACTTTTGTGGTTGTGTTTAACGGCTGTTGTATTACTTGTAAATCGTTTCTCACTTTTTCGAGTTTATCCGCCGATCGAGAGATGAGTAATAGATTATAGCGTTTGTGAGCCAACTGTCGGGCGTATGACAG